ATGTTTTGGACACATGATCATGAAGCCATTCTGTGCAGAGAAGTCGTCAATGTAAATCCCTACACAAGTAAGAAAGCGTCAACACAAAGAAGCAGTATGTGGGAAAAAATAGCAGACACCTTGAACAAATGCACTGTGCCGAAATTCAGGGTTGATAAGCGATCAGTCCGAGACCACGTGGGAATCCTTGTTTACAAGCATAAGAAGAAACTTCTAGCGGAGAAAAAAGCAACTAATATAACTCCCGATGAGCCAACGGAACTGGAAAACCTACTGGATATGATCATCGCGTTGGAGGAAAGTGGCGAACCGGAATAACAGGAAACACAGGGAACAGCTAGCAAAAAACTTCAATACGATTGGGCTAAAGCGGAAGATGTTAGACTAAAAGCGATGGAGAAGCTAGAAGAAAAGAGGTTCATCAGCGGATGAAAGCGATGACAAACCGAAGCGTCGACCAAGAAGTGGAGGTGATGCTATCGAATACTTAGCTGAGAGAGCTAAAGTAAGTGATCAACTGAAAGAGGAAGACTTAAAGATGAAGAGAGATCAGCAAACTCTCGAGAGAGAAAAAATGGAGGTTTTGAGTAAACCTCAAATTCAAATGCAACAGCAACAAGCAGATATGCTAAAACTTATGCAGCAGCAACAGCAAGAAAGCCAAAAGCAGTTACTCAACGCTCAAATGATGATGATGCAGCAGCAGCAGCAGTCAAAGGCTTTGATGGTGTTATTCGAAAAAATAATAAATAAGTAGTTATTCAGTGTCTACAAAGAAACACTTTCATATTCAGTTGTTGTTGTGTTGTTAAGTTGAACTTGAAGCTTTGCTTCACATAAACAGTCTCTTGAGTAATGTTATTCCAGGCCATTTATTTCCATCGGTGTTAAACTTGCTACTACTGTTTTAATGACATATATATTTCTGGGAGACAGAAAGAACATGTTTTAAAACCTTTTGTCATACAATATCTCTTTACAGTTCTTCAGTTTATATATTATCCAGCTTTTGTTTTGTTCTCAAGCTGTAAACTTAGAGTTAGCGAAAATAGTCTTGCAAGGATGGAGGGTCAACACCAAACTACTCGGCAGTTGTGTTGGAATAAAGGCAGGTTAAAGCGTTTCGTAGAATTGCACAGAATACATCTTACCAACTTGACTTAAACCTATCCTCAAATTCTTTTTAAAATCTAGAAATTTGAAATAGTTGATGATGTCTGCGAATAACCACTCTACAGATGCACGTACTGCACTCATTTTTTCTTTGAAAATTTCCCTTTGTCTGGTTAAAACCCCAACTCGGAAAGGAGCTTGGAGGTGGATTCTAAGCGGGTAGGCTGGCTCACCATATAAACACATTTCTCTGCCGGCTGGACAGAAAGCAAAATTTTCCAATTCGTCATACAGACCAGAAACTGCCAACATTCGTCAACAAGCAAAGGAATGTCCCTCTTTTCCACTCGGAAATTGGCTTTACATTCGGCTGGGTCTTCATTCGCGAGGGAAAACTTTTCATACGCCGAGTGCGGAAAAGGAAGATTTCTCGGCCTGTATGTATCGTAAAGCAGAACAAACTCTTCTTCGTCTATGATTTCTTGTACTAGGCACAAACAAAGCATTTCTTGGACTTTCTGAAATGACGCCATGGCTATTTCTGCGAAAGAATTGCCGAAGAATCACACTGATAAAGAGCGGTTTGCAGCCGCGTCGTCTTGCATCGCGACGGAGATCTTATATTGCTTTACTTTTCGCGCGCAAACGATGGCGTTCTAGTTCCAGTCCTTTATCAGCCACTGCGTTCTAGAAGTCGTGGCGTCCCAGATCTTAAAGTCCCTAATTTAAGCACAGGAGCAAATATACTCACGTTTTGTACAGAACGTCAAACTCGCAAAACCCACGTTCTCGACGCGACCTGTTGACACCAGAACGACTGCGTGAGCATGCGCAACATGTCTCCTCTTTGAAAATTTACTTCCAGTCGCGTCTTACAGCCGTCGCGTCTCGGATCTTAAAGTCCCTATTATCTTCTTCGATGCAACGATAAGCGGCAGCAACAGTTACACGATCTGTACAATCTACGTCAAGAATATCTTTCTAACGGATTGAGGACACATTATCAATCTTTACACCATGAGCAACATTGGCTTTTACAGTAAGCTTCATTTTACAATGAACAGTTTATAACACCGATAATGTGTGACATGTAGGGAAGCTTTACATAAACAAAGTCCTTACTGAACAAAATTTTCGTTTACAATTTTTATTACATGACTTCTCCAAAACCATCCCACGTAAAAGTATATATCCATGTTTAGCAGCCTTATACATAAACACAGGTGTGTCTTTTAAGTCAAACATAACAAAAAATTATTGTTGCTGGCCTCCTATTTTAGATATTCTATTTATTCGAAAAGAACATCTGTGTTTCGGATCTCCTCACAACATTAGTGTGTGACATGTGTTACAATGCCAGAAAAATTAATTATTTTACCCGTAAGGGACAATTTATCAAGTCATTGGGCTCTTTCAAAGAAATCAGAGGGAAGTGACATATTATATTCCATCAGCAGGATATTGTTTCCAGAAATAAAACGACAAGCATACAGGGTTTCGTATAAGATCAATCCATTCTGTGCTTTACATTCACGATAAATTCATGTAATAAATGGGTGGCGAGGATGTACCGGACACAGATGACGTAAAACGAAAGAACAACCGCCTTGAAACAATATCAAGCAGATTTCCCCTGAACAGAAAACAAAGAAGTCTTTTGCGTTACGTCATCTGTGTCCAGTACACGACGTTTTGAGTGGAATTGGGAACCGTTAATGTCTGGACAAATTGTCACTTTATTTGGTCAGGGAAAGCATACATTTGACTGTCAGTCTGGGACTTTCAAAAACTATTCCTCTGGCAACCATGTCTCAACAAACTCATGCATGTTGAAAATTGAGAAACTGATCAACTTCAACATGACTTGTATGTGGACATTTCATACAAATTCCACCCTTGCATGGGTATTTGTTTCTCATTCATATACACAAATAAATGCGAACACTTTCATAAATGATTTGGTACTCTTTACAGGGATAATTCAGTGCTAATGAGGGTACAGTATGTAGCCCAGTACCCGGACGGTACCAGTATCCGGACACTTAAAACAAAAACTCAATTTTTGAGGCGCCTTTTTCAGTTCTTGGTAAACGAAGTATTTCGAATGAAAGCTGAACATTTCAGCTTTACGATGAAAGTTGTGGCGATTTGAAAGCTTGCCAAACAGTCGCAGAGGACGCCGTTCTGTTCAGGTGAGTAAACTTTTCATCGCTAATATTTACGCTGTTTACTGCGCAGTAAAATTAGTGCTGCTCAGAAAAGGGAGGGTAATGTGTGATATTTTCAAAGAAACTGTTTTATTTTTAAAGTGGAGATACTTAAGGAAGTCAGGTTTTCAGAAAGTTTATTAATTCTTCTTGAAATTCGATTTGTTTGGAATAACGGAGGTCAGAAACACTCACTAAGTATTGATGTCAGGTGCCCAGTATCCGGACAGTTTTTTCTTTGCTGTACAGAATCGATGAATTAGCAGTGTACATTATCCGGATAAGGGTTATTTCATATCAGTTAACTATAATTAAAGCTTAGGATATATGATACAGTCGTAAAATGTAATTCTACTCAACTCCGTATGGAAATTTTCTTCACTCATTCAGAGGCGACATGATTTCGTGTGCACGGCTTGTTTCGCGTGACTGCATTTTCTATATAACCGAAAGCGTCTGAGTTGAACCTGGAATTCTCATACTTTCCCCAGTTGTGACTGCTACAATGGGGTTGCAACGGTCTGAAAAATGTCACAAAGGGATTGAGAGATGTGAAAGAAGGAGGAATTAGTCCTAGAAAAGCAGGCTTATTGTGGGGACTGAGAATGAAGAATCAACACCGCAGGTCAGACTAAATAGGAGAGTGACCTTTGACCGTCGGACTGAGGTCCCGGCCCAATCTTTTTCTTAATAAAAAATGAAGAAAAAAAAGTCATTTGCAGATTCAATTGAGCTTGCAAACTGCGGCTTCGGCATGTCCACGGATGCCTTCCTTAAATCAGTGAAAAAGTTCCTAGACAAGGAAGTGAGAATTATACCATTTTTAAAACAGCCGCTCGCGTTCCCCACCACATCCCAGTCATTTGTTACGTTTTATTTCACGATGCTAGGTTATATTTTTCGAATCGATAGCCAGACTACTTTGCAAGTGCAAGACAAGCTTATAAGTCGCTTGCCTGTCGAACTTTATGTACAATTATGTTGTTTTTGTTGTGTCCGGATACTGGGCCAGCTGTCCGGATACTGGACAACAAAGGAGCTCTGCAAAAATATTAATTTTGCGATGGAAACAAGGGCAAAAAAGTTAAACTGTCTTTCGTCATATTAAGGACTAAATAGATTTTCTGTGGGCCAAATTTTAGAGCTCTTGCGATTAACAAAGGAAAGATATTGCAATCTTAAACTGAAGTGTCCGGAAACTGGGCAACATACTGTACCACATATTCAATACTCATCATAATCACAATTCTCCTCAACTGAAACCTTAATGACATTGCTACATGTAATTTCCATTTCAGTGCAAGTGATTATGTTTGCACCTTACTGTTAAAAACAATTAGTTGTCAAGTGTGATTATCATATGTCAACTCTGCCGGATACGACAACAATCTCCTCCCGTACGGGTCACCAAATCTCCCAGATAAAATCGAGTTATGAACTTTTCTGTGCTTTAATTTGGAATTTATCTCATTTTCTCCCAAAATCTGAATTCAAAATTCTCATGAAACATTGGCTACCCTTCCTTAACAACATCTACCCCATTAAAATCCCAGAACATCCTTTTTAACGACAAAGCCGGGACTGGGTTCAAATTTACTCCAACCAAAAGAAGATTAAGTACATCTCACATTTCAATATTAGAGTCAGTGTTGAAACCCGCCCTCCCAAGCTACACAATTTACTCCGATTTTCTCCCCCCTTCCATCCTTGACATTTTATGGGCATCCCCCCGCCCCGAGCTTCGCGAGTTTCTGCGATACACGTATTTCTAGTTTAACAATTAGTTCATGCGACAATTTACTCCGATTTTCTCCCCCCCTTCCATCCTTGACTCTAGCCTCTCCAAATTTCCCGCGTGCTCAATATCTCGACATACGCACTGCTGAAGCATGAACTAATTGTTTTACAACATTATCAAAGCGATCAATGCAGCAGTTAACTTAAAATTTTATTATTGTAGGGCGCGCTCAAAGCAGTGACTATATTTTTTTTTCCTCGCAGTTAAGCTTGTTTTTATCCTGAAACTGAGAGAAAGTCTACTCTAAAATGATTGTAAAATCCATAGTTAGGTGCCGAAAAACTTTTGATTCACCGACAAATTGTTGTTGAGAGAAAACAACTTTGCAAAGAATGAGCTCACGCCGGATGTTACTAAAACGGGGAACGGGGAGCGGGCGGTATATACACTTGTGCGAGTTTCGCGAAAAAGTCAGACAGTACTGTATAAATAAATTTGTGCCAACAACTTTACTCAGTAAAAACGTAATCTAGTTTAACATAACATATATACTAGTAAAAAAATTTGGGCGAACAACTCCACGCGAAGGCCATGAATCTGTAAATCAATATACATATATACTATTAAAAAAAATTGGGCGATGAACTACACGCGTGCTTCACCACTCTGTATTATAATAATATATACTAGTAAAA